TCTCTCTCTCTCTCTCTCTCTCTCTCTCTCTCTCTCTCTCTCTCTCTTTCTCTCTCGTGATGCTGGGGATCAAAACTAGGGTCTTGTACATGCAAGAGGTCTACCCATTGAGCCACACCCCAGCCTCCCTGATCCTATTTTGAAAAGCTAGGTTTCCTCTCTTTAAACTGTAGGTTTCTCAAACGGGAAGGAGGCCAGTGACTCCGAGGGTTGCTGAAAGCATCAAGTGACATAGCAGCCTAAGTGCCAGCAGGATGACCATCTACACCAACTATACTCCTGAGGGCTTCTGGGACGTACGAGCTTCCGTGCCAAAACCTGGAAAGGTCCTGGACTCCACCAAAAAAGACTGGTCACCCTAAAGGCTCATGGCTGCTGGGCTACGGTCCTCTCACCAACCACGCACCCCCACCCGCCTTCTCTGCTGGCCTTTTCTCAGACCTGAGAACATCTGCTGGCCACATTTTCCCAGACTCCAATCCTGTCCCCAGGCTCAAGATTTCAAAGTAAACACAGAAGGGATGAACTGCAGCCCCAAGAGCATCAGGTACTCACTTGATGACCTTGAGGAGGGAGGTGGTGTCCAGCTGGTAAATAGACAAATCAAAAAGAGTGGTAAAATCGCGTGGGTTCTCCTCGCCCTCCTGGAGACACACTCGTAACCGTTCTGACAGGGTGGCGGTGTCAGGCAGCATCGTGTAATCAGAGATCTGAAAGCCGTAAGAACTTCCTTTCAGTACAGCAGGAGCCAGAGTTTGTTGGCTCAAATCTCTCTCTACCTGCTCCTTCTCAATCTGCCAGACTTTTACTCTTTTGTCAGAGATATTTTATGAAATCTTAGAGACAACTCACTTTTAAATAGGTCTATTTACTTATTTGGCTCCAGGGACTGAACTCAGGACCTTGTGCTTGCGTGCTTGCCAGGCAAGCACTTACTCCACTGAGCTATTTCCTGGGCCCCTGGCCATTTTATTTATTTATTTATTTATTTTGCGGTACTGGGGATTGAACTCACGACCTTGCACTTGGCAGGTAAGCACTTATTCTACTGAGCTATCTCCCCAGCCCACGCTGGCCGTTTTAAATAGAGCAACAGAACTCACTTGGCTAAGCCACGAGACGGGCTAAGCCTAGCTTTCCAGCTCTCACACACAGCTGGCTCCAGCTGGGAGAAGCAGTCATGCTTACTGGGCTCCTTTCAGCTTCGTGATCGCTCATCTTGAGAACCAGCAATCAGCGCTACCCCGTGAGTCCACTCACACTCCATTCTCCAAGGCAACACTTCCCTGTCATTTCCATACGCCCAAACAGTACTCTTTTACACAATTTTAGCAGAGGAGTTTTTTTTTTTTTAAATTTTAGTGACAAATAGAGACAATCATAAAAGAAAGTCCACAAACTCCCACCACTACATACAGCCCACCAGCATCTGAGCCACGCCATCTGCTCTCCATCATGTTGACGCTTGCCCGATACTAGCACAGGTGTCCTTCCCCTCACACACCAGACCCAAGCCTCTCTCCCAGCCAGGGACATCTCCCAACAGTGTTGAAAGCCCTTGACAACAACACAGACTCTCTGCCAGTAACAGTGAAAGAACAGAAGCTAATGTCCATTGGTGGAAGACTTAAACATGGTTGAAAACTTAGGAAAAGAGTGCCTCCCCAACCCCGCCCGCAGAGTAGGATTTTCTGCCGAGTTCCGGGAACCCCCAGACCCAGTCCTAGCCCAGGTCCGGTGAGTGTGCGGAGAGTTTCCTGCTACCCTGTGCCGGCGGGACCAGTACCAGCCCAGGCGCAGAGTGGGCCAGACCCTCTCCCAGCCCCTCGGGCCGCCCCCCACCACTCCGCAGTGCCTGCCCCACCCCACCCGCCGAGTAGGATTTTCTGCCGAGTTCCGGGAGCCCCCAGACCCAGTCC